TAATTTCTTTAAAAATCAATTAAACTGATCCCAAACTTTTGAATGGTAGTGGGATTCTATAAAATCAAAATTAAAGTCAAATTAAAGGCAGTACAACAAATATTGCCTCGGTGTATAAATCTTTTACTATTTAGATAATCATTTATGACATTATAATTATAAAATATATATATTTTTTTAATATATATTTAGGGTAAAATATGACTTTTGTACAGTTCTCATGAGATTCACCTAAGAAGTAAATTTCTCTCTCTCTCTCTCTTTCTTTTTCGAGAAAGATTAGGCCCCTGAGATTATAGTATTTTGCAAAGTTGTTTGCTGTTCCTTTTCATTGCGAATATAAATTTTCAATTTTCTCCCAGCGCTGTCAGAGTGATCTCACACGGCTTTGTTTGTGCCGCCAAATGGTTCTGGCTGTGGATATACTGTCTCTTTTACGAGAAACTGATTTCTCTCACCTTGTCAAGCACACCTTTTATTATTAGACGCAGCAGACACATGAGAGGTAAAATCCTTTGTTTGTTTGTCTAGCTCAATTTCATGCCCTGCTTGGCACATAATATTTCAAACAGCGATTCTGTTGCTCTTGGTTGCATTAACATATACAGGTGCATCTCAATAAATTAGAATGTCGTGGAAAAGTTAATTTATTTCAGTAATTCAACTCAAATTGTGAAACTCATGTATTAAATAAATTCAATGCACACAGACTGAAGTAGTTTAAGTCTTTGGTTCTTTTAATTGTGATGATTTTGGCTCACATTTAACAAAAACCCACCAACTCACTATCTCAACAAATTAGAATACTCCATAAGACCAATAAAAAAAAACATTTTTAATGAATTGTTGGCCTTCTGGAAAGTATGTTCAGTTACTGTACATGTACTCAATACTTGGTAGAGTCTCCTTTTGCTTTAATTACTGCCTCAACTCGGCATGGCATGGAGGTGATCAGTTTGTGGCACTACTGAGGTGGTATGGAAGCCCAGGTTTCTTTGACAGTGGCCTTCAGCTCATCTGCATTTTTTGGTCTCTTGTTTCTCATTTTCCTCTTGACAATACCCCATAGATTCTCTATGGGGTTCAGGTCTGGTGAGTTTGCTGGCCAGTCAAGCACACCAACACCATGGTCATTTAACCAACTTTTGGTGCTTTTGGCAGTGTGAGCAGGTGCCAAATCCTGCTGGAAAATGAAATCAGCATCTTCAAAAAGCTGGTCAGCAGAAGGAAGCATGAAGTGCTCCAAAATTTATTGGTAAACGGGTGCAGTGACGTTGGTTTTCAAAAAACACAATGAACTTTTCCACGACATTCTAATTTATTGAGATGCACCTGTAGATGGAAATGGGAAGTCTTCTAAATATATCTGCCTCAGTCGGCACAGGAAAAGTGCAATGAGTCGTAGACGTTCTCATGTGGTTTGTAATAAAATAAATGTTGTACGATGCTTGCAGTATCCAAAGGTTATGAGAGATACTTAATGCGTTAATGTTGCCATAAAAATTATTTTCATGTAAACTAGCACAGTCCCAGTGTAGTCTTCCAATTTTCAGATTTATTGATTGATTTCTTGTGAATTTTTTTTTTTATCTCTCAGCCGATGCCGATGAGGACTTCCCTGAGCAGCATTTGCTGGACGTACAGAAACTCTGCAGTAAACACCTGCTATCCTACTTTGTTTTACTAAAACCATAGGAAAGGTGAGTGATTCTGGCTTTCTTTCCTCCTCAGAAAAGAGCTTTCACTGGCTTCCAATCCATTCTGCTGTTAATTAGCTGCTGAACCTGAAAACCATCTGACAGGGGAGCTCCATCCCTAATCACTTATTCTGATTGAACTTGGTAATTAGATGAAGGGATGGATGACACCCTCTATTGACAATATTTTCTAACCTAAGGGAAATGTTTATCTTTGTCTAATTTGTGTTAGAGTCGGTTTTCCACTAAATTTTCACTATTTTTATTTTGTGTTTTGGTTTTCGGTTTCAGTTAAGGTTTAGTTCTTTTATATTTATTAGTATTTTTTGAAAAATGTCTTTGTTTATAATTCATTCATTTTTTATTTTTATTTTTAGTGGTGTCTTTCAGAGCCCTTTTCCATGATTTATCTTTATGTACAAAAAGTGAATTGTGGTTGGTTGTCGAACATGTCAATCATACACCCCTTTCCTGTCTACCAGTTATTTTGAATAACTGTTAGACAGGAATAAGAGTTATTTTTAAATAAATACTTCTATTCAGCAAGGACATTCATTCAGTTTGATCAAAAGTGACCGACATTACAACAAACATTTTGTTCACAATTTCCACAAAAATATTAAGCAGCTAAACTGTTTTCAACATTGATTAAAATAAAAAGTTTCTTGAACAGCAAATCAGCATATTAGAATTAACACTTAAGATTGGAGTTATGATGCTGAAAATTCATCACAGGAATAAATTACATTTTAAAATATATTAAAATAAAAAACATTTTTTTTAAATTGTAATAATATTTCACATTCTTACTGTTTTACTGCATTTTTAGAATTATTAGAAAAACATAAAAAGTTTTGCCCTCAAACGTTTAAACAGAATAGTCTGTGCAATAAAACATGTAATTCAGTAACGCCTAGACAAATAGTAATTATGCATATTTCTATAATAAAGTTTAGTTTTGAATACATCTCACACTTCGATTTGAAATGCCTGACATTTGTGAATTCAGGAGGAAACCCTAAAAACAAATGTGACAAATGCAAACAGAAGTGAATTATGTTTCTCTTATGGAAATGTACTGCATCCTCTGTTCTGCCATTGCTTTGCCTGTATTTAAAGCTCACATTATTCAGCACAAGACAGACAGCTGATCCGAGGAGCACCAAACAGCCCTGTTCATTGAACTGGCATGTGTAATAGCAGGTGTTATAGTTCAGGAGGTTTTCTCAGTGAAAGTGATGCTGTGGTTTGTGACAGCTCTCTGACAGTGTGTAATTATCAACTGTGCTGGCTAGTCTGAATGGGTGAGAAGACTGTATCTGTATCTAAGAGACCTTAAAGCCTCATGTTGTTCCAGACTTGTGTTATTATCTTGCTTTCACTTTTTCTTTCATGGAAAAGAGCAGCTCGGACATCATGCCTTTTGTGTTTCCCAGACATTATCTAGTGATACCGGTAAATAAGTAAATTCGTTTTTCAGATTTGGGTGAATTTTTACTTTAGTACCTGCAATGAAGATGATACTTTTTTAGCCTTTTATCATGATGATAAACTTTCTTTCTCTCACACACAGACCTGCTCATAACTGATACATGTCTTGCTAATTTACAGCACAGACACACAGACACACAGAGGCCGTAAGTCATTTTGGTTTCTCCGTGAGGGCTGTAAGTGTTTGTCTGTCTAGCTCAAGGTCAGGACTGAACGTGCGTCCTGATTGGATCGGGGAGAGCGTAGGCATCGAGCAATACCACACACAGACACCCAGGGCATCTGTTTCTCTGTCTTATTTTTTCGGTCCTCTGAGGACATCTCCATCACCTTGGAAAGTGGCTCTTCTGAGAGGGTGATTGGTACACAGGGGTTCAAAAGTAGAAAATCTGCTCTTGAGAGGAAAGAAAAACTCAATCTTCTATGTCTGGTCCCTTGAGGCTTTTCCTCCTCACAAATACACACAGTTTCTTTGTCCTCAGCGAAATGAACAAACAATCCTGGCCTGCGGTCTGTTATTTCTTTGCTACGTCATGAGAATAATAGACCAGCGCAGAAGGGGCTGTCCATCCGTCCAAAAAATAGTCTTAATAAAAAGTATCTATCTGTCTATCTATCTATCTATCTATCTGTCTATCTATCTATCTATCTGTCTGTCTACATAATATATATGTAAAAAATATTTGTACAATTAAAAAGTAAGAGTAAAACAGTTAGAATAATAAATTCTCTATAAAATTTTGCTCTATACAGTATATTCTATATAAAAAATCTGTCTAATATAATCTATCTTCATGTAAAATCTGTCTGTATGCATAATCTAAGTAATATATATATATATATATATATATATA